CTTGATTAATGAGCCAGTGTTATACTCACCGAACCGCTGTGGCTCCCCTAAAATAATTTTGCCAATACTTATATTGATAGTTGTGACTCATTAATTTATTGTATACTTTATAATTTAGTAGCCGTAAAGATAAAATATTTATAAAGCATTTTAGTAATTGACGGGTAGTCATGGAGGGGAGTTGAAAGGTTGTAAAGATTATAGTAGTTAATTTGACAGATTAAGATGTATTTTCAAGATTAAGAGAGGGGTCAAAGTTGAACTAGTGCATGTTTTAAGAAGATACGTTTTACTTATTATAAATCTCTAGTAAGATAAGTTTTACTTACTATAAATCTTCATAGTAAGATATATTTATCTCTTTAAACAAAAACACAGCATGAAACTCTAGTTTCTCACATTTCAACAAAGAAAAAATATAACAGATAAATAAACTGCCTTCTACTAGTTAAGATAAATTTAGCTGAGACTCTGGTGGTGAATTAAATAAACCAGCAACATTAATGTATGATTTCTCTCTCTAATGCCACATAAACTGCCATCATAAAGTAATAATCAAATGATATATACTGTTTTACCTATGGACAAAAATACAACTTGTTTTTCTACGTCAGAAATAGATAAAAAGAAGAATAACAACCCACCTTGGATATTAGGTGTTCACAGAGAGCTTGATATTTAGACTCTTGGCAACCATCAAAGTCACTTTCTATATTTTCGTTTGGTTATTGATGATCCAGTTTCTCAGTCTGTTTCCTTTCCTAGTTCAGACGAGTCCAGCTCCACTTTGAGATTGATCCTGTTTTCGTTTCGCTATTTTGTGGGTATTTTTGTACACAGGTTTTAAGACTTTGTATGGCGTAGTGAAGGAATGTATATGGTTTAGGTAAGTGGTTTTAACATTTGTAGTAAGATGGTAGATTGACAGAATTCTTACCACGAAATGTACATCAACTTGTCAGTGTATAATAGTGTAATTAAACATGTCATCTTGTAGATATACACGTGTCAATGTCTGTCATTATACTGACTGGAATTCATGTACTAACATGGAGGTCAGAAGAATATAGGATGGAATCAAAATGTATAAGGAAATTATAATCATAGATGTATAGAATGGATTGGAATGGGGTTCAATATCTGATCAGCACATTACTTTGGTCATTTTGAGATTAACATATGGTATGTTCCATTATAATGTGCAATGCCATGGTGAGAACATTGCCTAAACAGTGGCATTTCTACATATTTTTCATTGAATTCCAACTTCCAAGAGTTCTTTAAGTGCATGAAAAATATTTACACAGACGGGTGGACTTTGATGGGTTTTTTTGTTTTTTTTATTCTCACCGATGTAAAGATTTAATGGTTTCTACTCGTTCTAGAATGCCTGAGATTACATTTCAATTATTATTTTGAAATTTCACGTACATGTAGTTAACAACTGGTACATGTATGGACAGTGACTTTTTCAGCGGACTTTGCCTAGTCTGCTACAATCAAGTCTAAACTATCACTCCAGTACCGTATAGTAAGGCACTAGCTCCCTAACCAGAACATCATGGTTTAAATCATAGTGTTTGTGAAGAAAGTACCTCAGGATTGTTCAGTGTGTTCTCCCCTTGTCATTGTTGCAGAACCGAGGGCCTGCCAATGAACAGCATCTAGTTGTTTAGATGGGATAAAAAAAAATGAGGTCCCATGTACACTGGAGTGCATGAAAATTGATGAAAAGTAGGTGGAAACGCTGCAAAATTTCCTTCCTTTAGCACACTGCATGGTATATTGTTGTCTTCATTAACCCATTTGGTGCAGAAAAGTCTGATGTTAAACCATCATTTTATTCCATGTGTTGTGTGCGAAGCAGGGTCATAGAACACCTGATATTCTGGTAGTTAACAATATGTATATAGACAATACTGTACTAATACTTAATAGTGTTTTATCTTTGCTATGTGTCTGTAAATATTTACTAGAAAACTCTTATAATTTGATTAAGGAAAGCATTAGAGATTCGCTGGTTGGTGAAAAAATAATTTTTGATTTGCTCTGATTGGACCAGACAGTTACAAGAGATTGCATACAAAATATGAGATAAATTCTCCAAGTCACCTCAAAGATGTACACATTTTAACTTTCAGTTTACAAGTCGTACAAATTTATGATGTTTTTTAAGGCATTGTTCAGTTACAGTTTTAACTTTTAAAATTTTTAAGGCATACAAATTTTTTGTGGTTTTTAAGCTGTTGTTTAATTGCATTTGTTTTAAGTTTTTTAAACTTTTAAGTTACATTTGCTTTAACTTTTTAGACTTTTAAGTCATACAAATGTTTAGTGGTTTTAAGTAATTTAACGAACACGTCTGAAAAATACCTTACACAAAAAAGTCAGTGCTCATATAGTATTTCAATAGTTTTAGGTTATTTTGAATATGATATGTTTAATTACATATAATGTCTTGGTGAGCATGATAATGCATCTCTAATAACTTGATAAATATTTTGAGTTGAGATCTTTATTTCCTGTTTTATAACATTTTTAGAAAAAAAGTCTTTCTGAAATGGATGCAACACTTGTGTAGGAAGGATCCCATTTATTATGAACACTGTTTGATAAACGAAAAGAATAGAGTTTAACACGTCTCGTCAACACAATTTTTGATCATGCAAAATTTACCTCATGGCACACTGCATGGCGTATGCCTGTCTTCATTAGCCCAGTCAGATCAGAACAGTAGGATGTTAGACTCCGTTTTGTTTCATTTCATTTATTTTTTCAATGGTCATTTAGTGATTCTAAAGAAGAGAGCTGTGCCTCGGTATAGTGGCGTTACCACCAACTCTTCATCCAATACCATCCGCACACAAATGTGTTCGTACAACTAGGCAACATTTTACTTGCAAGTCCTACAAGTACTACTGTTTGATGCGTTAACACCTCTAACATCGTAATTTGCCTGACAGTTATTTGTGTATTCTGCATTTAGTAGAAAACTGAAAAATGACACTGTATTAGAGTCCCCCTGACAAATTCACCAGGAAAAAAGAAATGTTTCTCCAAGTTTAGTTTTACATGTCAACAAATACGTATTAAAGTTAAAGTAAATTATTTGAATTTTTTGTTTTTTGGTGTGCAGCCATTTAAACTAGTTGCCATCATTGTATACTGTGTATATTGATGGAATAGGTGAGTTAAATAAATAAGACAGGGTGGATACACACAAACTTTTAAGACATGCATAAGTAGTTTAAAACAGACTCAAGTTTTAATCGTACATGCTATAAGATAGCTACATGTCTCCAATATTTGACAATAGGTGTAACTCTGGAGGAGTTGACATACCATCTTGTACATACACTTAAACATAGAACAGCTTTAGTCACAAAAATCTCTGTGTTGAAATGATGGATTGAGTTTTTACCATACATGTTATAAGACCTGTACACGTAGTGGCAGTATTTTACAATGTTGAGTAGGTGAAACTTTGAGGGAGACGACATTTTATTTTGTATATACCATTACAGTAAATTTTAGTTTAATACAATGCAAAACTGTTTTAGTCACAAAAATCTCTGATAAACTAATGGTATTGCTGTAAATTCTCATTATGTTCATTTAAATTGTAAGTTATTTTTAAGCTGTATCTTAGTGAAACTTATAAACAACATCAACATATTATAGTAGTTGTACCTTTTGCTGAATAGTCATTTCTCCGATTTAATAGTTTTTGTGTTTCCATGGAAACAAATTTGACATTTTGGATTTGGTATGCAAGGCCTCATGATATGATGTTGATAACTGATTCTTCCTTGAAGTTTTTGAAGGAAAAGTTTAAAATAAAATATTAGGTTTTTTTGATATTGAGAAATCGTTTGAAAAGTAGTGCCAAAAGTTTCACCCATATACAGGAAATAAAACAGGATTATAATCTAATAACTTGCCACTTGCCACTAGTGACGCTATGAAATTCTATTCTCTATTCTCACTTTAGCTTTGTTAGACTATTGAAAAGTCCTGTGAAGCATAATAGCTTTAAGACCTCTGCACTAAGCAAGTTTATTCACCAATTTGAATGCAAGTTAATATCCTCACCTAAACAGATAAAAATAATAAGAACATATGAACTCGGCAAAAAATTCTATTATGTTTTTCCTAATATAGATTATCATAAGAAAAGTAATATGGACATAAGTATTCCGTTAACAATGGGGTTATGTAACACTCTGTTCCATTTACATTAATAAAAGTCCTTCTGCAACAATTTATGTAACTTTTGAATCCATAGTATGTAAGACGTTCAATTGGACATAGCAAGAAATTGAATTAACGCAGCTGTAATCGAATACAATCGTACATTATTGATATTATGCTATGACCGAGGCTAGACTGGTTTTCATCTGATGACCTAAACTGGCTACTAGCCAATTCAATTAGATATTATACATGTACATGTGAGACTTACTTTTATGATAGGATTTCATATTGAACAAAACGGTTGGGTTTATTAAATCAACACTCGATTACTTATTGCTACTAGATATTTAATATAAGATTGCATAGATATTGATTGTTGTAAACGATTTAAGAGGTTAATATTTGATGTGTGAGGTATAATTGTAGGTAATAATATATGTACCGACGCAACCAAACAATTTTGTCTCAAGCACTACCAATGTGTATTGCCTGACCTGACAGAGTGTAAAAAGTTTTTTTTTTCTTTCTGAAAACCAAGGTATATTGTGCCAAATTTTGTGCGAAATGTTTTCAGGGCTAGGCGTACAAAATACCTGTATCTGTGTCAAGGCTCTTGTTTCGTTCATATGTACCTGGTGGAATAATATAAACTTACCTATCATATATGAATTTGCATTATATACAATGCAAACAACTTAGATTGGTTTGGGCTAATAATCTTGTTATGGAAAATGTGTATTAAAATGTCTAGCTGAAAATATATGTTGAAGTCGTAACTTATTTGTGTGTTATATTTTATTTTTCAGTCGGACACAGTTGATAAACGACATGCTGTGTTAACATATGATGTGTTCCTTTCTAAGTTCAAAATTAAAGATCTCAGTTCAATAAATAAGGTAAGTTTAAGTTAGTTAACTGGATATAAACTAAGAAACTATTTTGGTCAGAATACATTGTCTGTATTCAAAGAAAATGGTTGTATCTTTCTATTTTTATCTTTTTTTCAATTCTGATGTTTGAAAATTTGATTGTATAATTAGGCTTTCCTGTTTATCATTGAGGGGGTTGAATGGCCGAATGGGTAGCACGTGCGTGCTATATCATAAAGTCTTGTCATTGAGTCAACTGGCGTGGTTTCGATTCCCGGGTTGTACGTGACAAGGAGTAGGGTCGCCTGTCTAAGCTCATGGGTTTTCTCCGGGTTCTTCAGTTTCCTCCCACTGCTAAAGACCCCTACGTGCAAGCGAATTATTGAAATAAAATGATACCATATGTTAGTCCAGAAATGACCTTGGTTTGTGTCGAGTGGACGTTAAACCCTATTTCTCTCTCTCTCTCTCTTTATCAATGAAAATTTCCAGTTTTATAAATCTTGAGTATTATTATTGAGTACTTTTGCAGTGTGGTTGCTATGTTGTTGCCCCTGCTCATACGTCTGTCCATCAGCCAGATTACTTTCCTAAAAAATTTATACACAGTGTTTATGTTTATCAGACCTCAGATCCTATTGATTTACAATGATTTAACATTTGAACTGTTAAAGATTGTTGGTACATGTTTTGTTTATGATAGCACAAGTGTCTTGTATGTGCGGTATATAATATTTTAAGAATAGAAATGCGACAACCATTTTGGGCTACCTAGCTGCTGTTAGTAATGTGTTTCAATGCCTGTCAACTTATCTTTATTTCAGACATATGTAAATAGTACAAGAATCCAAGAACAAGAATACGTGACTTTAAATCACATGGATACTGTACAACTTGGTCATGATATCCTTTTATTACTATTTACAATTGTACATTGTTTTACTTTTATTACAATATTACATTGTTTTACTTTTATTACAATATTACATTGTTTTACTTTTATTACAATATTACATTGTTTTACTTTTATTACAGTATTACATTGTGTTACTTTTATTACAATATTACATTGTTTTACTTTTATTACAGTATTACATTGTGTTACTTTTATTACAGTATTACATTGTTTTACTTTTATTACAGTATTACATTGTGTTACTTTTATTACAATAGTAGTACAATTGAAAAGTTAAAATGTGAATAAATATTCCAAATAGCTTGACTAATAGTCTTACAGCAAAATATTGAGCTGCCCGGAATTGATCTCTAGATTTGCTTTGCTTAATGGGAATATGCAATTAAGGGAAATATTTTTCAACCATACTAAAATGTGGTAATTGAGACAATCTTTTACCCCAATAACTTAAGCATTTTATATAGACATGTCTATATCTAGGCTCTTATAGCATGGAATTAGGTAATTGTATCACATGACTGCATATAGTTGCATAGGATTAGCATAAAGGTTTCAGAGTGTCTTCCACATGAGAGCTTTTGATTCATAAAATTATGCAACTGGCAGCTCATTTATGTGATTTTGAATTTCTCATTACAGCATGTATTACTAGATATTGATATTTCAATCTTGACATTCAAGGTAACTTTCTTTTTTAATGAACTTCCAAAATTGGTACTAAAATCTGATGTTTAAAATTTCAACAATACATCTTTGTCAAATGAATATGGTTTGAAATATTTGTAATTTTATATCAGATTGCCAATAAATTAATTTGAATTTCATCAATAATTTTACTTTCCTTGACAAACTTACATTCACCAATATATAGAGTGGAGCAGGGTGGTCACCCGGATAGTGCCTGTGATACTACTCAAGGACGTGTGCCTAATTCGAATAATAAAGCAGCCATTATCACTAATCCTTCTGTAAGAAACTCAACCCAGGTAAGTGTAAAATGTTTTCTATACATATCTCATCACGCCAGAACACTACCAGGTAATCTAGACTATTTAATCATGATCTGCCAGCATTTAAATAGCCATGTCTAAGTAGATATCTCTCTAGAAGAATCAAGTAATTTTCTCTGACCTAACATTATACTGCTATAAAATCAAACAAGGATGTACGATTTATCACTGACGTTAATTAAGTTAGATCAAATTAGATATAAAAAGCGAGTATCAGAACCTTAATTGAGAGGGAAGGCAAGAGAAATTGTTTTCTGTGTGTAAATGAAATTTCTGATGATCATTTAGTCATGCACAATACAGGGCATGCTTACTTTCTACTGTCACTTACCACCAGTTTCATCTGAATGGACCCTCGATGTTAAATTCTAGTTTTTTTGATCAACCTTGACATTTAGATTTGGCTTTGGTTGGGTGCTTATTGTTATAGTCTTTTTATCTGTGTTTAGTAATGAAGTTTTCCTGGATGTACATATCACCTATTTATTGAATGGGGAGATAATCAGTTGATTATTGTTGGATTTACACATACTCTTGTCAAATTATAATAATTATTTCTGTGATGAATTTTAACGAGGTTATGTGTGTGTAGCCTGTGTTTGACCGAGCTAAACTGACAATAGCCTGTCTGGTCACATGCTAGTCGTGGTAAAAGGTGAGAACGTGAAGAATAAAACAAATATGCCTCGCCCTCACATTAAACATCTCACTTTCACCCTATTACTTCAGTCAATCGGTCAATATAGTCACAAGAAAATATACTATACCGTTAACTACATGTTAAGTGGCTGTGGTAGCCAGACAAGGCTGAGAAAATCAAACCACACCATTTAATCGTGCACTTAAAGAGACTTGCTGCTAGCTGAACAATTGAAGGACACAGACATCGATGAAAGAATTGGCTTGATCAGTACAATGAGTTATAGAATAAAGTAGATAATTAGTCAATGGATCTAAAAAATTTAGCAATTAAGATATTTTCTTTTATAAAAAGAACTAACAAGAATTATATTTGCATTTATTGTCAATACATGGTAATTTTATACATATATGTGGACACAAGATCAAGCAACAATTGGTTAAGATCACATTTTCAAATGTTAAAGAAATACAATGTGATATATTATTATGCTATTTAGAACCAAATTTCATGGTCTTTATCCACAAATCGTAGAATTTATCCTCTTTTTTCATAACAGTATTTATTCAATAAATATTTACATATAAAATATATAATTATTGGATCTGAAAGCAAACCAGAGCTTATATAAATTCATCTTCGGAATTAATTTACATAAATATAAATACATTGTAAAATCATAAATTATACACTTTTATACCTTAGAAAGAAAGAAATATTTACTCTCAATTAATTATGACCAGTCAGTTTTAGATGGTATTTAGTAATGTGATATGGTTAATATCGATCAGGGTAGAAGCTAATTAGTTTATTTATGTTAATGTCTCTAGTGATAATCCTGTATAATATATGTTTTGATCTTTAGCTTATCCATTTATAGTTACAATGTAAAAAGGCTAATGTACATCAATAGGCAAGTCATTAGGTCACCCGACTTAGTAGCAGCGAGGTTGGTCCTCCACTGTGCTGGAAGTGTACATTTTATGTATTGAATTATTGTTATTTATAAAATATAAGTTCCAGTAATTAAAAGATTGAAAAACCATTCCAGACTTATTAGTTATTGAAGAACCTAGGGGTTATATAATTATCAAAAGATTATGTTGGATATATATGGCAACTGAATGTGCTTTTAATTTTTCGTTGTTAAACTACAATTTCATTTTTCACCTAAATCAAATTCATTTATCATCAACTGTTACAAATGACTCAGTTGTCAATAAAGTGAATTGTATGTAGATGATGTATCCAGAAAAACCATTAAACATTTTCATGATAGAAAAAATAAATAACTACAGAATGACGTCATATGACATCTGTGCACAATTCGCTTGTGTTTATTGATGAATTAATGTTGTTCTATTAGTTAATCCCAAATTTAAGTTAACATTTAATTGAAAAGAAGATTTTGTCATGTTTGCAGACGCCTTTATAAATAAAAACTTAGTTTTTTCCAGAACATTAAATGACATACATTTAAATTGCTTTACACATGTTGCATCTATTGAAATGCTGCTCCATTCTTTGTGATCCTTACAACATGAATCATGTTTTAAAAGTGTTAGTAATTAGTATCACTTCATGGAGATTGTTGCCTATTGATAGAAAGATATTTTTCAATTTCATCTATACTTTACTGTTTGAATCACAAATCTCTATCCGTTGCTTTGATATGTTTTCTGTTCAAATTGATCAAATCAATGTTCAGATTTTTAGATTTTTTGAGTTGAAAATAAATGTGTATTGCTTTAAAGGCACAACAAGCCAAACTGTTCATATAAATTTAAAGTCAAACACATGTTGTTATGTAATTAAGCACATCTGAGTATAATTTTTTTTTTAATTATTGTTACTTAATTTATCTAAGACACAAATTTATCTAAGACACATTAAGATGGTGGAGTAAAATCTGTAGAAACCAATGTAAACTTTAAATGCCCATAAGTTAAGTTAAAATTAATCTATTTGAATAACTCTTTATTTAATTTTTTATTCTATGCACATTGGGGCTTTATTTAGATCAGCTTAAAGTCATTTCAGTTGGATATTTTCATGGAGGTTTAAAGTAATAATGCCTGTTTAATTACAAAAAATACTGACACACCTTCCTTAATATTGATTTAACTTCAAAAACAAAAACAAACTAAAAACCGAGTATGATTCACTAAAATGTAATTATTAGTAGGATAAAGTATAGTTCATATATTCGTAATCACAATATAACATACAATAACATAAATAAAACTTAGCAAATGGGGTGATGGGACTCAAAACGGAATTTAACAATTCTTTTAGTCTAATTGCAAATGAATACATATGGTAATTTTATGCCCACCCCCAGACACATTATCTATTGGTAGTCTACTGGGTTAATGAATACAAATGTACACTTGATATGATCTAGTCTACTTGATACTAGACACTTGATCTAGTCTACTGATTAATGAATACAATGATTGATAAGCCTGTTTCTAATCCGTTAATCTGCTCTCAATCACTGTGAAAGGAACGTCTGATTATCCTTAATCCCTGTTGATGTTGCCAGATCACATAGTTTAATGATTAATCTGTAAACAATATACTATTCATAGTATATAGTATTCTTTGTTTATAATTACAAACTATAATATACTACCAGATTTTCTTGGATCTGTTATTATAAACCTGGCTTATTGAAAGGTCATACTCATAGTGTATTCAACAGGTAGGAATTAATAATTTGAATATGAAACTTTTCAAATTACACAAAATCTAATAGGAATTAAGTTACAAAGTTTGAATCAGTTATAGTAATGTGATGTTAAATATTTTGTGAATGACACCAGGATTTTAGGTTAAATTTGTACGGAACTGTTCATTGTCAGCTTTACAATATATCCCTGGTATGCCACATTATGGCTACCTATTATCTATTTCATTATGTTTTTATATTTATCCATCTAAAATTAAATTATATGAAAATGACGTATATTTTTTTGGGAAATAATAATGTTGCACAGTTTATTACTGGTCTCCAGGATTGTTAAACTCAGACCCAAGTCAATATTCCATTATAACCCATAGATTCCAGTATAGGTACAATGGTAAATATTGACATTGTGTAACTTTTCACAGTTTTTAAGTGATGTTAATTGCTCAATAAAACATGGAACAAACAATACATTAATATAGCATGTACGTACAGGCAATCCAATAAAGTGAATCAAGCTGTGGACCCAATGATTATCCGAGTTTCATTTGAGTTTAAAAAAGAGCTAGGAGAATGTAGTTGATTTTCAAAAACGAAAGTTTAAATTTTAGCCTGAAGTCATCGATGTAGACAATAATCAAGAATAGAAATCTACATTATATTTATTATAATATGTTGATAAGTTATGGTATATTATACTGCCTGGAGACTGGTGTGATGTTGCTAAAAACATATTGATTGATTTCAACTGTGGTAATATTGATTAAGATTGGTGAATCATGCATGTTTATATTTTCTCATTACTCTAATCGTGACAGCTTTTAAATATATATGATGTCATGGTGATATCATTCGCAGGTGAATAATTGGCCATCCTTTACCATACCTATTTCTTCAAATTAGTTTCAAATCTGCGCTCGAGCAACTAAGAAGTTTATATTCAGAGATATATTTATTTCAGATTTTTTGAAAATCGCAAGCTAATGATGATCAGCATCATGTGTATTGTTCAGGTGTGAAAGAGTTTGTCTGAGAAGTTTTAAGACCACAATATTCGAAGCTCAGATTCGAGCGACATTTTAAAAAAAACAAGATTTTGTCACTTACAGATTTTAGTGACATTTTTTTAAAAACTGTTTTGTCCCAGATCCACCTAACTAACAAATTTTTATATTTCAGGGTATAATTGATGGACCAAATTGTATGACAGTTCAAGGTCACCCGGATATTGCCTTAACCTGGCCGCAAGTGAAGTTACGACGCCTCAATGCTGGTGGGATAATGCCAGAAAATAATGGATATAACATTGTCTCATCTGACCCAACCTTTCCAGTGCCTCTCAGTAACGATAATTACAATCATGAGTTTATGCCACTGTGTAATCAAGTGCCTGACCCGGTACCACCTACTTACACCACTGTTGCTGACAAACCAGAATCAAAAACTTATGAATATGATGTGTACTTAAACCAGGATTCCACCTCGGAAAATGGTATTTCTCATGTTCATGGAAAAATTATTCTTGAAGGTAAGACATTTAGAATTGTAATTTGAAATAGAGCTTTAAAGATGTATACAACATACATAGGGCACAGACAGTATTGTTCAGATAGGATAAAAAAAAAAAGCAACGTCGTTCAGATAGGATTTTTTTAAAAAAAAAAAGCAACATCATTTAGATAGATACATGTAGGATTAAAACTTGTCACATCATTCAAATAGGATATTAAAAAACAAATGTCATTAGGATAGGATAAATAAAAAGAGCGACATCATTTAAATAGGATGAGAAAAAGAATCGTCAATCAGTTAATATAAAAAATAAAAGCATCATCATTCACAAGATTTTAAGAAGTCACATCATTCAGATAGGGAACATCATTAATGATTTCTAGGCAGTCCGAAGTCATTGATTGCCACACCTTCAAAATTCTAAATTATAAAGCTTTTTGCTGCTATCAGTAGTCTGTAAATTTGCCAGCTAATGTTTTCATAATTCATGATTGTTGTGGAGCATTATATTAGAAGCTGATCTTAAAACAAAGTGTCTTGCCCTCCAAAGAATTTGCTCTCTTGTGATAAGACAATGGATTATGTTTTTGATAAGAAACACACAAAAGATTATTTTGGATTATATATCAATAAAATGTTATTCCAATGACTTGAGTTAAAAAGCACAAGCACTTTGGGGGTCATCAGGGTTTGTTGAGCAAATAGTTTTAGATTAGACATGATTTGACTATACAGTTACGTCAAGCATTATCAGATTTAGATTCTATGTAAAATATTGAATAAATCGGCTAAGCTATTAGTGCAATGGATGCTTACGGCTAGATTTGTTTTGTGTAAATTGTGTGTCGTGCAGTCCCCCTGCACTTACTACTATAATAGAAATACAGACTTTTTAGTTTTAAGGAGTTTAACAAACTCTCATGAAAAAAAAAACTGTCTAATTGGGGCCGTACTTTTATTCTCAATAATTAGGTGTGACAAGAATTATTCTGAATTTGATAGTATCAAAATTAAGAACATTTATTTGCTGGGTGAGAGTACGTGACAATATCTCTTTAAAAAGTGTATTTTAAGGCCATTAAACATCATATGAACTCATCACTCTATGACTTGCATGTTTTCATTTCTTCATTATTTTAAATTTTAAAAACAAAATTTGACTTAAAATTAGGTCCACTTGATATAATGTTACAGAGAAGTGTTGTAGTTATTAGCATATATTGAGAAAATGATTTGATGGATTTAGCCTGAACTTGCAGGAATATTTTATGGGGAGCTTTTCAGATATTATAATGACTGTCATAATAATTCTAAATTTTATCTTTTAAAAAGTCAATAAAACTGACTCATGATAAATTTTAATTTTCAATAATATATCAGTCTTGTTTATATGATTCATGTTAAAATATTTTATTGTATGTGTCACAATAAAACTAATCGATTAATATACAAACATGTATATATATACTTATCATATATTGATTAGCGACTGACGTTTGGCCTATTGTTAGAATTTGATCAATACATGTTACTCTGGTGAATTGTTTTATTTCTGAAAAGTTCGAACCAATTTGAGGAATTTACAGTAAAAAACCACTGCATGTCATTTGAGAACAGCACAGTGGCAGACTTTACATGTAGCTCAAATAACCATAGTCTGTGAAGTCTTTATGACTAACGTTGTAGACTGTGAGCATGCTCGTTGTTAACTTCCTGTGTACATTTCTGCATTGACAGAGTTGGAAACAGCCAAGAAAACCAGTGCATTATATGGCCAGCCAGACTGGTGGGGAGAAAATGAAATAAATAGCAATGGCAATACCCTGAACCCCAAGAGAGAAGGTAAGCTACCCCCCTTGAGGGCAGTGTCTTACTCTTATGTAGATTTAATTGTATTTAATCTATTGTCACCATGGACCTGACTATCTTATCATTTCAACTGGTATCAGTCCTGTGATGTTTAGTGTGAGTGAATAGATAATGAGGTATTTATATTGAACCACTGCTGTAGGTCTGATGTAAGTAAGTATATTACCCACTATGTGTAGATATTCAATAGACATTTGATTGAAATGCTTAGAATTTGTGGACTAACAAGGCTGAAAACTAACCAAAAATCAATGACTTCTATAAGAATTGAATGGTAGCTCAGAGTTACAATGTTCTATTGACTGAGACCAGATCACAGGCAAGCAAGTGTCAACATTAGTTTTATTTGGCTCTTGTTCAAGCATTTCATTGACCAGTGATATACTAGATGTTAGGTATGATATACTATATTTTATTACTTTTATTGAATAATAATATAAAGGTAATAGAATCAGCCGTCTGTGTGATATAAGGTGTCATTATTATATTATTTACTATTGGTTATGTGATAATTAGATATTGGTTATTTAGGTTTTCACTTTGATATTTGTATATAATACATTTTTCCCCCCTGTGATATACTTTATAAGAATATATACAATTTACCGTAGGTCATTGAACTTTGCTGTTAACAAAAGATATACACAGGTATCAATTCTATGGAATATAATTTTGACTATGCTTGCTTGATAAAGACTAGGGGATAAATTATTCCATATTATTGTGTCCTGTGTCAGAACAGTAGGACGTTAAACCCCATTTAATTTGTGTCCTGTATATACATGTATCCAGTTCAATTACAAAATAAATATTGGTATTTACAATTTAGTATAGGAACTACAGTAGTGGATGATTTGGTATCAACATTATTTGATGATTGTAATCATTTGATATTGTGAGAATATACCAGTAGGTAGCCTACTAATAACAACATGTTTGTCTGTTTAGCTATGGGACAAAATACATTGTCCATATACCTTTTAGCAATAGAAATATATTATTTAAATCATGTGTTTTTCATATAAAATAGTATTTATTTGCAAATTCATTGTCTTGCCATTGGCACACAGCCATAATTGTGTTGGCCTGGATATGATGAATTTCTGTACTTTCAAATCTGAATTTCGGTAGATATTTTGTAGAATGGGTCTCCAATGATCTAAAATGCTGCACTGTGGGTTAACCCCAATCTGATTAAAACATAGATCCTATTTCGTTTCGTTTTTATAGTTCAAAATTTCGTTTTACTTGTCTTTACTACACTTGAATCTGGAAGACTTATTTAACATGTGTTCTGCTTGAAATGAGGGGTCAGCCAATCAAAGTGTCTGTCGAATCGAGTGTTTGACCTTTTTTGCCCGGAACTGTGGGTAGTCCACTAGTAACATCAATGCTGATTGGTTAATCAAATGTCTGACGTCATAGGTCAAAAGTCGGTCTTTTGACCCCTGACGTGACCTATCGCTATAACTTGTCAGATCTTCATGTAGTGTAGGCCATCGAAAGTATAAAAAAACGAAACGAAATATAGATCTGTATTTTAATCAGATTGGGTTAACCCCATTCTTGGGACGATTAATACCGTCTGCTTGATCTTGAGTGTTTCTTCAAGATCTTTTGCAGTCATGATTGTAAACATGTATACGATGGAGTTCACATAAAAGAATCCTTGACAGTTGGAATTTGATAAAGAGCAAGCAGAAATGGCAATGTCCAAGCTAAATGCCTATTTTCATTAGCCTCGCTGGTGCAGAAAAGTAGGATGCTAGTCCTTTAGTTCTATTAAGTGGCTGAATTGTCAGCGCGTGCGCGTTGTATCACTACTTCTGTCATTGAGTCAACTGGCGTGGTTTCGATTCCCTGGTTGTACGTGGGTTTTCTCATTGAAATAAAATTGAACCATATGTTAGTCCCAAAATGACCTAGTTTGTGTCGAGTGGACGTTAAACCCCATTTCTCTCTCTCCCTTCCATTTTCTCCTTTAATATAAATAGTTATTCTGCAAAACAGGATACACTATAGTCAAGTGGGAGCATTGTACATGTACATTCCATAGAAACCTCTTGTACTGTTTATGATATAATTGGGATATATTTAGAACTGACACATTATTACCACTCTGACAAACAGACCCAGCGGTGGTAGAGGAGAACATGTGGCTGCTTCAAATTTTCAGCTACATTGATGACATCTTTATTGGCACAAGTGGCTGACTCATATTGGATGTAATTTTCCAGCTAGCAGGCTGACCGATTCTATAGGAGTGGAGTAATATAAATTGGAGAATACATGAAAGTTTAGAATTTGGTTCCAGTTCTTGTAGTGTTTCTGCAGCCAACAGGTGGCAGGAATATAATGTAGATATTTTTCACAGTGTTTATACATTAACTTTTGTTTGTTCAAGTTCTCTGGGAGAATTACACATTAATTCTGTAAATATTTGGAAGCCTTTCAGGACTGGCACCTTGTTAGTGTCGAGTTAACCTCCAAGAGAATGCCAGGATTTTCTTCTAATCAGTGTAGTTATAGAGTCAGCGTATATAGTGGCACACATTTTATATTGACTATACTGTGTTAAAAACAGCGTTATTGCGTTTTAGATTGTTTAAGGATGTGCTTCTGTGTGGAACAGTAACAGAACTCCCAGTTATTTTTAAGTTAAGTTGACTTGTAAAAACATTAGGAGTCAATGTTCAGTGTAAATAATACCTGTTGTTATTAAGTAAGTAAATCTCTTTGTTTATATACAATTGTGTTATATATAAATTTTATTTGCTTAATTTAAGTTCACGAGGTGTAATGTTGAAATAGTCAATATTGAATTAGATATCATGCATCAAAAAAAGAAAACAACCCAGTGTGATCCTTTTAAACATCTATTGTTATTTTGTGATCATGTGTGCTTCTTTTATAAACTTGATCAAATTGACTTGATATTTTTATCATAATGTTCAAATTTTATGCACTTTATGTAGGCATATAATGTAAGATATTAATAATTGATATTTACAAAATAGTTTTATTCAATGCCCTTTATATCTATTGTGGACGTATAACATATTGATTAGATAAATTTATTATTAAATTAATAATAGAAATATTATTAGGCATGAAGCTAAACTCAGATAACATAAAATAGATAAAAGTGTGATCCATTTGAATTCATAGGCTTTTCTAGTGGCATATTTTTTGCCATTAGGATTTATATTATTAGATGTAAGAAAAGTTAGTTAATTGTGGTTACAGATGGGATAGATACAAATTCTAAGATGCGATTAAATTATCCAAATGCTAAAAGTCAAGACATGCTTTGTGCCTAGGATAAAATGGTAAAAGTCAAAGTCTTCATAGCATGGAAAGGGTGAAATCAAATTATATACGTAGTTCAATCTCTCCAGCCTCTACATTTTCAACTCTGAAGATGATTTATTTTGGTTTTAGGTTGGTCTGTGCTGTGATGACTTGTATTAAAATATGTCAAGGGCTATTAATTAACTTACAGGTACATGTTTTATGGAGCTCATCACGTACATGTTATAATTGTATTAACCTAATCAACAGCCGTCTAATTGTTTTACTTGGCACTACTCCATCAATATAAACATGGCAGAGCCAAGAAACATAACTCTATTGACAAGTCTATTTATATATTAAAATATTCAATTTCTACAAACTGCACTACAGTATTTTAAAACGTAGAAATTAACAAGAGAAAAAAATTGGAATTTAGACAGCTTTGCACCTTTAAAACTTGTCAGCATGTATTCAGAGAGGTATGAACTTCAAAGGTGTGTGATGTAGAAATCATGCATATGTTATCCAATGGGTTTATCTACAAGATCAAATGTGTCACCCTTTCAAATGGTTTAGCACATTAATGGGAAAAGTTTGCATGAAATGCATCTTTCTCAAGAACTTGTAATGATTTGTATGTAACTTAAGATATTAATAAGGAATATAACCACATTGAATTAAATTAAAATATTTGTGTATAGAAACTGATTATAGTTCATGCATTATCTGTAATCTAAGAAAATATTGTTGGCCTCTGGAATGTTGGCCTTTGAATGCAATAAAAATTAAAAAATTGAAATAAGATGTCATGGATTCTAATTAAATTTTAGATTAAGTTTTTCTCAATTGACAAAATGTCATCATTTGTTGTATATTTTACATTACTTTTTTATTTGATGAGTTAAATACTGGTGCCATTGCTAAACAAGGGGCATATTACACCTGCTGTTTTTTTTGTGTAAACTTACTTTCATGTAGACTACAAATGTATCATGATATGATGAGTATGTCCAGTTGTTATCAGATTCTGTAATCTAAACTACCATAAAGACTATATCTAAACATCATAGAGAAAACTATATCACACATCATTAAGGTGATAATTTGATGTAATGTTGATAATAAACCATAAAGTATAGATAAACTACCAGAAACTTGATGAAAAACATGAAGTTAACCAGGGGTTGGTGTTTGTACCTTGCTTATTTTGTTTATTTATAAATGGTTTGACATGTTGTCTTTATGATAATCTTTATGCTGTATTCACTATCCAGTATTATCAACCAAAATATCTCTAGCAATCAATGTTGGAGTGTTGTGTATTCTGGAGAATTGGTGAAAATAATTGAACTGATCTGGCTCCCCATTCCATCTCAATATCATACCTTTAGCTGAAGTGATTGTTAAGGCTTTCAGATTTAGATAGAAAACAGATTCGATATTTTTTTTTTATCATGAGTTTTAATTAAGATAATGAGAAAATAAGTTTGTAAATTACTCTACTGACTGAAGATAATTTTGGCAACTGCTTCAGTTCATCACCTAATGAAAAACAATTCCATGAAGCTTCGTACTTATAACCTTGTGTTACCTGTAAATTACGTAGTTACGGCGGAGAAGATTGATTTTCTACATCTTGATATGAAGTTAGCTAATTGTAATGAGGCATGTCTTGACTG